ACATAAGAGAAGAAAATAAAGGAAAAGAAGTGTTTCATACTGCTGCATGCTGGTATCTGGGAGAAGGTGAAACACCAGGGGCTATGGCCCATTCCCAACGTCCATCTCTGTGCTTGGCAAGTCCATATGCACTTGCTAAGGGCTATCATGCAAAGGTACGAAAAGACATATTAAGTATGGCAATAAAACATTTAAGATCAAGACAGACAAAGAACCTCCTAAACTCTAATTCCCACTTTTATGAAAGCATGGTAAATAATATTCTACTTGAACTCTTATTTGAATTAATTTACAAAGAGAAGCTATTCCCTGTCACCTCACTGCAGAATTGATATAATGGTAGCGGAGAGCAATATTGCATTTGGATTCCCTCCAGGTGACAAATTTAATTACTTAATGTACAACAACTGTCTATTTTCAAACAGGGGATTAACATGGAAGCAGAAACTCTTAGGCTTACCACACTATTCGCATCTCTTCCTCCACAGAGAAGAAGAAGGCCATCAGACCGTGCACTTGCAGTTGCATACCTAGTTATAACGTACAAACCCAAGAGATCCAAATCACTTAAGAGAACCAAGATTACATCAAACTAATGAAGCCAAGGAAGCTAAATTACATGCATGGAGGTGGACCTTCCCCTTCTGGTTCCAGCTTACGCCATTCGTAAGGTTTGGCAGCAGTGTCCAAAGCCCATACATCCGCTAATGGACGTTTTCCTGGTAATTTAATGATAAGAGAAAAAGAGCTATTTAAGGATAATATAAATACACTTTAATGAGGAAGCGAGTAAAACTGCTTACCATCATTTCCACCAATTGCCATGAGATACCTCTGTCCTACCAGTGCCATAACATGTCCATAACGCGGACCTGGTCCAGGACCCTGAACAACAACCCTATATAAAGATATTCTAAATCAAGCGACAAACTAGCATAATGAATTTCAAACTGAGCTCGCCATAAAGAGCAGATATCTATTCTAACCTGTGCCATCGTGGCCGTTGCTGAGTGAGGTCAAGAACGTGAAGGTCCTCAGCTGATAAACCAGCAGGACCTATTCCACCCTGTGCACCACAGAAACAATTCAATAGCAGGTTCAAATTGCTGACCATAAATGATAACTTTGCTAAACTACAAGAGATAATTTCTCCCCTACCTGAATAACTACCATGGTCCCAACAGCAGTAGCAACGTGTGCAGCTCTTGGGCTAGGTGGTTCTCCATATGGTGTAAGTCTGAAGCATTATTCCATCATATTAAACTCCACACTTACTAAAAATGACTAGATCTCATACATTTTGTCTTATAAGGATACAAATTAACTGTCCAAGATACAGACAACACAATTCATATCTTATACTCACCTCGACCACTTATTAGTAAGAACATCATAACAATGGACATCAGCAGTTGCACCAGCAAGTCCTGCATAACAAACATTCTTCCAAACATCAAAATACAGCATTGCAAGTCTAAAACCAACAAGCCAAAACAACACTTCAAGAATAGAACTAATACAAATCTAACATTAAGGAATGATTTTTCCCATCGATACTACAAATGCTGAGAAAACAGCTTCACCCTCACAAGCAAATAGCTTTATTAGAACACTAAAGTAACCGAGAGAAATCGAAAAAAACATACTAATGCCAGCACTTCCCGCTGAAGTAGGCGTCCCTGTTCCTCCTGAATTACCCTCAAGAGCCGTAGCACCACCAAACAAGATCAGTCTAGGTCCAATATAACAAGACGTCCCTTCCTCACCAACAGCCGGAACCGCCGTCAACGTATGACCACATCTAGGACCAGGACCATCCTCTTTCTTCTCAATAACAGCATTCACAACCGAATACGTCGGCGCACATCTCGGCCCAACCACCGGCGTTACCTGTTGTTGTTGTTGTCCTCCTCCCTGTGACGACGGAGACGAAGGAGTCAAAGACGCCGATTCGGATTCGGATCCAGTTTCCTCCGTTGATTGCTCAGACGCTTCTTTCTCCATAGGTGACGATGAAGCCGTCGTAGTAACAGGATCTTGATCGTTCTCTGATACCATAGACGAATCCAAATCCATTTTTTTCACAACCCTAAAAAGCTTTAAATTAAGGGAAAAAAAAGATCCAAGCTAAAATTCGCAACACATCTTTCTCTTAATTAAAGTTCTCGTTTTCCAAAAATCTTCACTTTTGTGAAGAAGAAAAAAAACCCTAACTTTGCTTTCTCCGGTGAGATCCTCCCGGAAAAAGTTAATCGGAGTAAAAGATTCAGAGAATTTGAAAAATGTGTTTTTTTTTTTTGGTTTACGAGAGAGAGAAGACGAACTCAACGCCCAAACAAACAAAACCTGCCCTTTTGTTATTTTTATTTAATTTTATTTATTTACTGTTTCTCTCTTCAAGTGAATTAAATTTTAATCACTGAAATTTAATTTTATATTAATCACTTTTGTTTTTGTCGTCATTAAATTAATTACTTAAATTTAATATTAAATTTAAGCATTATGTTTTTAGTTTTTACTAGTACTTACTAAAATAAAACCAAAACTATTTATTTGAGGAAATTAAAAAGACTTATATTTGTCAACTGTTTTAACGAATTGAAGCCATTTATAGTTTTGTACTAAGGAACAGTTTGATCATTTATGTTGATACAAACAATACACATGGAACCAAATCCAAATTTACTTTTGTGTGTAGTGTGAGTAGCCTCAGCTTATAACATAGTGTAGTCATTATTAATGATGGGTTTTGTATGTATGTATATCAAATATGTGTAGCACATTTTGCTAATAAATTTACTCTTAAAACTATATAGACGATTTTAAATATTATCTATTGCAAATATTATACAATAATTTTTTTTTTTTGGTTAAAAGCCTAGAATTTTAGTAGTAGCTAAGAAATTGTGTTAAACATGGTATATATGAACCGAAACACATCAATATAGTTATCAAATAGTTTGTAATAATAGAAATTTGGGTTTAAATAAAACAATCTGAAACTGAATGATACTTAAACAAAGCGATATGGTTACCAATTTATAGTTTAGTAGGTATGTTTTCTTTGACGATTAAGCTGAAACCAGAATTATCCGATCTGAAATTTGGAATTGACGATAAACATTATATGAAACTCATTGATCAATATGGCTCCCAATATGTATGATACAATTTGCTCTCTCCATTTCCACTAGAAAGATATCTATTTCTTTTTAAACAAACAAGAGTTTCCATTCAAAGCCTCAAAAGAGAGAGGTTCATACAATCGGAAATAAAGATAATACAACTTAAATAAAGATAAGGGTTCTATGAGTTCTCTAAAGAGATGCTAAACTTTGAGAGATTTGTAGTGATTGAAAAATCTTTTGGAATCATAGCGGATACAACCTTGAAGATGAGCTTCACGAAATCCTCAACCAACTAGTGGTAATAGACGGCTTTGAAAATAAGTAATGTATCTCTTCTTTTATGTTTCATAAATATAGATTTCTTATATTTTCTCTAATAACGAATTGTAAAGTTGTAAATATATTAATGAAAAATTTTAAAGGGAGATTCTCATAGATAGCATCATTTAATGTTTTTATGCCACAAATAACACACGCTCCAACAATTTCCAATTATAACATTCGTCACGTTTTCTTTGTCTCACCTCTCCTCCTCACCTAGCCTCACCTCGTGTCGCCTCCTCCTCATCACGCCATAGACTCTTCAGATTCTGCAGATCTAGGCTCTGGAGCTGCCGGAGACGAACCTGCTCGAACTTTGAAACGACCATGTCTCGTTTGGACGCCGCAGCTGCATAAGCGTTTCGTTGATGCGGTCGCGCATTTAGGGATTAAGAACGAAGTTCCCCAAACCATTATGCAGCTTATGAGTGTTGATGGGTTAACCAGAGAAAACGTTGCCAATCATTTGCAAAATTATAGGCTTTATCTTAAGAGAATGCAGGGTTTGTCTTCTGGTGGTGGAGCTGGTTCAGATCCGGCCATAGATCGTCTCTTTGCTAGCTCTCCGGCTTCTGCTCATTTTCTTCATCCGAATCGAGTTCCAAGCTCTGATAATTTCATGCCGTCTTTTGTTCTCGTTGCTACTCTTCAACAGCAACAACAAATGGCTGCAGCTGCTAATCCTCATTTACAACCGCCTCAGTTCTACCACCGACAAATCGCAGCCGCTCATATTGGCTCGCCGACGAATGGGGGATTCCACTCACCGACGAGTAATGGGCAATTTGGATAGCCGACGAGTAATGGGTTTGGATCACCGACAAGTAATGGGTTTGGATCGCCGACGAGTAATGGGTTTGGATCACCGACGCATGGGAAGTTCGATCCTTCGTTCTTGGCGAGGCAAACTCAGCAACAACAGCAGTAACCAATTCACAGAATGCCAACACCATCATTGCATAGTCCAGTTGGTAATTACGCTGAGGATTTGGAATCTGCCAATGCTAATGGAGGAAGAACAGTCTTAACTTTATTCCCTACTCGAGACTATTAAAGTCTAAATCTTTCGGTAATAACACTTATTCAAGATTCTGAAGACATTCATTAAGTTTAGGAAGACATTCATTAAGTTTAGGAAGACATTCATGAAGTTTAGGAAGACATTGTAAAATTTAGGACAGCCTTCCTAAACAGATTTAGGGATTCGTAAAAAGTTTATGAATAACTTAGGAAGGACTCTTTAAACTTCATGATGGGCTTCATAATAAAATTGGATTTTCTTAAACACGAGGATGTGCACAAATTGAATCATTACCTCTCACTGATGGATTGATATGTGAGACATTGAGGCAAAATATAAAGAATTAAACACATATTTCTTTGGATTTGGGAAGGATTACATGACGTTCATAAAAATTTATGAAGGATTCCTTGAAATTCAAGAAGGAATCCTTGAAATTTAGGGAGGAATCATCGACATTTAGGAAAACTATCCTAAAACACCAAGTTGGATATTCTTATTTTTTACCTATGTAATAGAACACCATGGTGTGCACAGAATCAAATCATTATCTCTTACTAATGTAGTAAAACATAGATGCAAACCATAGATATAGAGATTTAAAAACACATTTCCTTAAAATTAGGAAGAATTCTATAACTTTTAGGAAGGAGTTCTTGAATTTTAGAGAGGTCTTCCACAATAACCTGAATTCAAACTTAAAGTCAAGTATTTTCTTATCTTTATCATCAACTCCTAAAATATATGCACCATGTATATCATAGGTCACTTGAGTGTAATGTGAACAGCCTATAGAACCGGATCAAGAAGAAATTGAGGAACCCCTTTTTCAGCAGTTGAAGATATAATCGAACTGAGATCTCACTTCCCCTTTGTCGATGAAACTCCTATAAACAAAAACACATTTAGGTAATGAAAAGTTTAGGGATACTTTCCTAACTCGTTAAGACTATATAAGTGTTATAGCCATACGTCTCCTTCTAATTCAATATCTAGGGGAGAAACACAAAAGCACAAAGATATTTCCAAGTCCTATATTCAGATTCCATAATCTATACTAACAACCACGAATATTGCAAAAAGCATTTGTATATTTTATCATCAAGTAAAACCATTGCTAGAATTTTCCTATTTACCGATTTTCATTGGGAGCACATATAGATATAAACACAGAATCTCTCCCAAACATGTGAATGGATTGGTAACTCGTGAGAAGAGATTGGAGTGACTGCATTATTAACACTATTAATATAGTTAAGTTTCTTTTTAACATTGCTTCAAGTGATATCTTATTTAGCATCCCATATGTAAACTAGTTCTGCAACACTACGAAACTAATTAACCTTGAAACCCCAGATAAAACACTATCAGATTGATGTGTGTCATTAGCTAAACAATTCAAAAACACATAATACACTCCTAGACAAAAAAAAAATGTGTAGAGGTTTAGAATGATAGCAAGTAAAATTATTCGATTAAGCAAACAATTGGTCTAATCAAGCAGTTAGAGCATAGAGAATACCTTGTCACCAATTCTATTAGAGAAAATTTGACTTGCAAATTTGCTATATTATCATCGAGGTTAATTGCTCAAAGGAATTGAAGAGCATGTCGAGCCTAGGGACGAATTGGTCTCAAGCACCATCGACTCATGTCCACAAACCTTCTTCCGTGCCGCGACTACCAAATGAACCACCACTGTTGATGGTTGCGTCGCGGGTCTAGACACGTTGATGGCTTTGGAAAGACCATTGTTGTTGATCTCGACCTCGAACTCGACAGATTCATCAGAATCGAGGCTTTACAAACCCTCAGATCTGGTGGAGGATTGGTGAATGACGAGATTGCTGTCGATGGAAGTGAAACGCTTCTAATTGTCAAATCAGTTTCACGACGTCGGAGGAAGACGAAGATGAGCAACGTCGTAGATAGACAGAGTACTCTCATCGGAGACAATAAGAACTCACCGTCTGAGCATGACGATAAAGACGGTAGAGAGATGGAGAACGAGATTGCAAAAGCGTCTCTAATCTTGAGTTTATAAGAGGGTTATAATAGTCTTTTTAGTTAATAAATAATGGTATTAGTGGAAAAATAAGTAGTGTGTGGTAGATTAGGAATCAAAACTATATTTGATGGTACTTAGAGGAATTTCTCAATTTTAAATTTATTGAACTACTCTTGATTAAAATTATGGAAAGTTGGATAATAAATATTAATATTTTTAACATGTGTAAAAACTCTTTAAAAAGAAATCATTTCTAGAGATATATAAAGTATAAAATTGGAATAGAATAAATAAATAAAACAATAATCATTTTCGCAATGTCATGATGCCATGAGGATGTCAATAAATGTCATCTACAAGACTACAACAGAATGACATCAAGTCAGATTTTATTTTCGTACAAACCGCCATAATAGTTATTACGACTTATATATATCTTGGTACCATAAATATTTATCAATCTAAATTTATGATTGTAGTTTCAAACATTTTTATGTTCATGAAAAAGAAAAATCACATTTTTGTAGTTTCAAGCATTTTTTATGTTCATAAATTTTATTTTATTTTTGGTCAAATTTGCATGGCGTAAGTATCAAAGCTTAGACAGTGTTGATTTCATTACTCTTTAAAGTTTCTTTGCTCTCTCATTTATTGGAATCCTCCAAAGTCCATAGCTATGGAAAATATAGCAGACAATGCAATATCAAAATTGTTCTGAACATTGCATGTGCATTGATTTAGGTACAAGTGTGATGCTGGAGAATAAAAAGGTTTAGAAAAAGTTTAGATTCTCAAATCGAAAAACACAATAGAACTTTGTGTATTCCAATACTGGAGTTTAAGTTACCCGATTGAACTGCTTTTGCGTATGAGTGAGTCTTGTGAGTGATCAGATCATATGTCAAAGAGAACATATATTACAAGTTTACAACTACAGAACCTGCTTCAAAGGATTCTTCATCGATATATCGACTAGCATCACTCTCGTATTTGCCACAGACATAACATCTATAGCCAACAGTTGTTAGAACATTTTCACAATTTCTACATAAGAAAATTTCACAAATGTATCATATGTTTCAGCATTTGTCGATCAATGTATCGTGATTGTTTGTCGGTTTCTAGGAACTTCTCAGCACGATTTCCATCAAAAACCGAATCAATTTTTCCTATGTGACTTCTTGTTCTGTGTCTTCTTTGATGGCCCAAGTCCATTTGCTAGATCAAATGAGCTCAGATCATCTAGAACTTGTTCAAGACCAAGACTAGGTGCTTCTTCACTTTTCTCCACAGGCTGTGAACCTTTAACTATTTCGGCTCCCAAAGTATCATCTGCTGTTTCGTTTTCATCTTCTCGGGTCATCTCTGGAGGCATTGCGAAATGTGGAAGCTTACCTTCAATGTAATCTTTCAGAATCTGTCTAGCTGCTTTGGTTTCATCAGGTAGTCCACTAGAGGCGACGTAACCACGAGAGAGGCAGTACGTTCTTAGAAGCTCTGAGGCAAGTGGTGGGCGGGACTGAGGCTCATAGGTTTTGGGTTTAGGTAGAGAGATGTTGTACACATCCTCAATCGCATTCCGAGGAACACGTTCGGCCACAACCTTAATGGCTTCACGGTGCTCGGTCATCCGGTCTATTGGAAGAACTCCAGAAGCAATCATTTCATATCTTGAGCTTGAGAATGAAGGGAAGACTAAACCAGGGCAATCGCAGAGCATTAGCTCTTCAGAGATAATCAATGTCTGGAAATGCTTTGTTTTTCCCGGGGTAGATGTGACACCTGTTCGCTTCTGACCAACCAAAGCGTTGATTGTCGAACTCTTTCCCACATTGGGGTACCCAACAAAACCAACCACAACTTGTTCACGGTGCGATTCAGCAGAAGTTGCGGAAACTCCTCTAGATTTCCTCATTTTTACTATCTCTTGAGCCTCAAGTTTTAATCGAGCCAATAGCTCGTCCCTTCCATATACTTTAACAGCTGGGTCATCTGTCTTCTGAGAGGTATGAGGTGCTCCCCACTGTTCTTTCAGGGGTTTACCTTCTAGGGTAGCCGTAGCAGCTTTGGCTGACCAGAATACAAACAAAATATTGTTGCGGGAAAAGTATTCAGCCCATTTCTCCCTGCGTATACAATATGTACAACCCAATTGGTAAGCGAAAAACAAAAATAAGTTAAGAGGCAAAGAAGCAAGGCAGAATTTTACCTGACATAAGTAGGTAAAAGATCCGCCTTGTTTACCAGAAGCATTGTTTTTTTATGCTCATCAATTTCTTGTGCATATGCCTGCGTCAGAAAAATTCTTTACATAAATTTTTGGTATGATCAGGAAAATTCTACTAAGAGAAAACTTCGAGTTGGCAGAGATAGAGTTACCTCAAGATCAGGGCACCGATAAAAAAGAGGATCTCTAGCATCAACAACCATAACAATCTGAAAGAGAAGTACATATACCCAATGAGATTTTACATTTAACGTAATCCAGGTAAATGAGAGAGACGGAAAAAAGTATCCTGGAAAAAATGACATACCAAATCACTTCGTTCAAGCACTCGCCAAAGCTGTCTCCAGATGTCAAGGTTCTTCTCGAATGGAGTCAACACAAGCTTTTCATTTTCCTCGAGGCTGAATACAGGAGAACAAGTAGGTGGGCATGCATAAGTATAGAGTACTAAGTCCCAACGTAATTTGCACATGCAATCAAACCATACATCTAAAATAGCAGCAAAATAATATCTTGAGTAGACTATAACATGCTTCAAGATGCGAAATGGATATTTTTTTAATCAGCAAAAGCAAAATTAATTTGACTGTTCTGGTACCATATCCCAAACTCTTCCCAACTTTCCTTTAAACACATAAAAAAATGGTTATCTTGAACACACAATGAGCTTACATATGTGTTGTTAAAGTAGTTCAGCTTCTTCAAGTGCTAATGTTAGATAAATATATCAACTCGAAACCTCAGAGCCATCATTTAACAAAACAAAATCGATACTAATGCAATTAGGTGACTTAAGTGATAACCAAAATCTTGCAGTTTGTAGCAAGCAACACTTGGCAAATACAAGAGTAAATATTGTTGGTAGCTTATGAGCACTGATTCAAGTATAAATTCTCCTCAACTTTTCATTAATTGTTCCCACATCATAGATAAGTATTGTAGTATTGTACAAGACCACTGACAAAAACGATTTGACTTTGTCGAAACTGTGTAACTGTTCGAGCACTTGCATATAAGCAACCCTCAATTCCACGAACAGCAAAAAGCCTTCTAGTGACATATATTTATCCTGTTTATTGCCAACACTAGCAAGAAGAAGAACGAGGTCAAACAGAACCAACCTTGCAAGTTTCCGGCGCCAAGTGAGAAAAGCTTGTTTTTCATTAGCATCAAGTTGCTCCACATGCATTTTAGGTGTCCAGTGAGGTCTAAATATAGTCAAAAAGAAAGAATATTACACTAAAGGAGACTTTATATAGCTCCTGAACAAAAACTAAAGAAGAAGCAGAAGAGATGGATACAAACCACACACCTTCGTGGCACTTGAAGGCTACTAGCATGTAAAGCCTCTTCTCTCATCCGTTGCTCTTTCCATTCTTTAGCTGTTATACCACTTGAACTCGAACCTATGTCCCTATTTACACACAAAGAACAATTATCTCATGAGAGAAATGACTCAATACAAAGAAGCTTCTTCAGATTCAGAAGCACCAACACAAAGCAAATCTCAAAGAACACAAACAGTAATCACCAATTTAGGCATCTCCACAATCAATACACAAAGCTCTAAGCCAATTCTTCAGATTAAGAGCATAAAACACATTCAGATAAATCAAATACAGAGCTCACAAGATTGAAGAACCGATCAATTATACAAAACGAATCGAGAAACTCACATATTGATAGGCACAGGGGTTGCGGAATCGTGATGAATCGCGTAGAGCCGTTCAGCTTCCTCGGCTTGTTCGATGATAGCATCGATGTCACTGACCTCCGTAACAGATTCCAAAACCTTCTTGTGTTGATCCTTGTACGACTTGCCTTTTTCCTTTGTTTCTTGGATCATATGGTTATGGTGCTTCACTAGGGCTCGTCCTAAAGACGTCTTCTCGTTCTTCCCCATTTTCTTCGCCGTGAAACCTCGATTTTTGATTTTCCGATTATTCGGAGTCGGAGATGGGAATCGCAGAGATTGTGAGAAGATTGAGTGCTTTGGGGTTTCTCTGCTTTGAATTCAAAACTCGAAAAATGGCAAAGGCTCGTGTGAAGAAGCGAAGCTAAGCCGCCGTGGGGTGAAAAATTAATAAAGTAAGAGTTTAGGTCATTTAATGGAATTTTGGAAAACTTTTTTTTTTTTTCCGCTGAAATTTTTTTATTATATAACACAACGATGAAAAACAAGGGTGGAATACAATTTTGAAATCTTAAAGCCAGCGGAAAACAGAAATATCCCCGAAAGCTTAAGCCCAATACACGGAAAACACAAAGTAGAACAACTAAAGCCAAAAGACAAACTTTCAAAATCATTGGAGAAGTCGGAAGAAAACATGAGACGCATGACTACGAACTCAAGAGTCGATGTCAAGAGGACCTACAAACGGAAATGAAAGAGATCCAAGGATAGAGGCCACCGCGAAGATTAAACCCAACTGAAAACGGGTACCTCGAACACAATAAGCAAGGAATTTTGGAAAACTATCATAGGCGTTCTTTCTTTTTTAATAGCTTCTTTGTATCTTCTTGTCCATAGGCATTTTACCTTTTAGTGAAGTCATGCCCCCAATAGTTAATTTTAGCCCTGGGATAAAAAAAAATCAAACCGAGGCAAACCAAAATTCTGAGTGTTCGGTTTGGCTTCATTTATTAGGTCTAAACCGATCAGCAGGAAAAATAAATTGAAAGCCGAAATATTTTGGTTCTGTTATTGATTAACCGAATTTTTTTATTTAATTTTTGATACATAACCTAAATTTATCTCTAATATAACCAAACTACCCATAATAACCAAATCCAAAATAACCAAAACAAAACAGAAAACCCCAAAATTATCCTTATATAACTGAAATTTAGTTTTTTTTAAAAAACTAAATTTTGGTTAATTTTGAATTTAAAAATTGTAAACCAAAATAACCAAAAAACAAAATTTATTTTGGTTAATTCGGCAAAATTTTCAAAACTCAAAAAAACCAAAAAAAAAATCCGAAATAACCAAACCGAAATATCCAAAATTAAACAAAGACCCAGTGCTAGTTAATTTCTTTGATGCTATTTGTGAAGAGTAAAACTTAGTTTAGCACATAGAACAAGTTTGAGCATATTGTTGTATTATCTCTTTCAAAGATCACTTTTTTCTAACCCCTTATCCACATATGTTGCATTGCTATCAACAAACTTTGAAGTTCTGATTCCAGCATTGAAGAACACAAGCTTCCTTTACTGTTTCCTTCACATAGGAAAACACCTTCGGAATCTCTTGTAATCCAAGCCGACTGTGACGGTTTCTCCATTTTGCAATTAGTTACATTTGTTTTAGTTTTTTGCAATGCTTTAATCGTTACAACCTTTGTCCTCATCAACCTCTTTGATCCCACCATTGCATCGACCAGATGTTAAGAGATTTTTTGCTTTTGCTCCCATTGTTAGAAAATTGTGAAAGTGTTTATGTTTAGAATTAATACGTACATGAATCCTTGACTAAGGATCAACGGATACATGTTGGCCGGTGAAGCCTATGATTGATTTACAACCGTCGCTAGGACTTTGTTACACCTCTGCGCTGGCCAGCCTCGGCCTCCCTTTCACCAGGTCCTCTCTCTCTCTCTCTCTCTCTCTCTCTCTCTCTCTAAGGGAAGTGGCACAAGAACATATAACTGTGATTCTAGCTGAGTTTTTCAACACTGGTTTCTCAACATGATAAGTTGGTATTTCTCTTTGGTTTTAGACTTTTAGATAAGTTTTGTATCTTAAGATGTTAAACTGTGATTCTAGATGGGTTTTCAACATGATCATTTGGTGGTTTTTCTATGGTTTTTGAAAACGTTGAGGAGTAATCTAGTTTAGTAATCTAAGAGATTTCGGTATGTTGCTATGTCTTTATTTACTTATTGAACTCTAAAAGCTTCAAACTTTGTGCCTCTTGATTCTAATTATGTTGTTTTATATGTTTTAGGAATCTAAGAGGATGACAAAGCAACATAGATCAGAACAAACAGATGATCCATCTATTGAGAGTAAAAGATTTAAATGGCCACCTAATCTGGCTCGTGGACACTTAGAAATTTGTGTAAAAGAGAAAAGGAAAGGGGACTTAATCAATGTATATTCTATAAATTCTATTAAGTAAAGTAAACTCATTTGTATAATCTGTTTCAGACTATTGTTTATGTTTGTCTTTCTCCATTAGAGGAAAAACCTGAAGCAAAAACTCTTCGTAACTATCCTATTCGAGATATTCCGCTCATTGAACAACTTTTTTTTGTGAGGAGTCAATTTCAGTAGGTGATGATGGATGGCAACACCATGATGGAGCAAGTCATTTGCCTTTCGAAGCAGATTCTGTTGAAGATATTGAGCTTAACAACACCTCTCCTATAGCTCAAAATTCTGAGCAACCTCAGAAAAATGGTAAAAGGTCAAGTCAAAGCAACCTAAATCATCTCGAAATCACTCAAGGGAAGATCAGTGGGATCGAGTCTTAGATCTTATCGAGGACCAGGGAAGATTTTTTATGGGAGGCAGAGAAAGTTTTTATACGTATAGTTCTGCTGCTTGTGTTAAGGAGATGGAAAAGATGGTATTTCTTAATCTGTATACTTGCACTAGATGATAATAAGTTTATGTTTGCTACTCATGTATAGGTTTAAAGCTTGGGAATCGCTTTTGGGAATGCAACTAGCAGAAAGGGATGTCATCATTATTAATAACATTTTTTTTTTCTTAAATAGATCTTATTTACATGTAAAACAGGTTTTGGATTTTAAAATCTCATTTTGATGTAAAGACATATTTGTTAGGGAATTTTGTTCTCGGTGCCATTTTTGAAACTCAAAAAATTAAAAATGCCATTTTCTCCAAAGCATTTTCTGCAATGCCATATTAGGTAGGTAAAATGACATAAATATCCTCTCTCAATGTTAGCACATAAATGAAAAAAAGTTGTCAGATGAAATATTCTCTGCATTATTTAATACAAAGGATGAAGGCTATTATCCAACAGATATTAACTTAATGGGTAGTTAAAAAGTAAAACAACATATGAAATCCAGATGGATTTATGGAAGACAAAATAACAGAGAAAATTTGAATAATGGGAGAAGGGTCGAAGAAGGACAACAATTAGATTTTCGGTTAAGCCCACGAGATAAACAAGATTTTGATCTCTTCATACGATTGTCCATCACAAGTGTCATCTGCTATGTTGTCTACAGAGATCCTAAATAACAAATTTTGTCCATCAATAAATAGAAAATGGAAAGGACGAATGGTAGAGCATTCAACAAAAATATAAATGGTCCATCTCATAGTTTACATGGGCTGAGGAGGGTTGTTTACTGGACTAACTGATTGACAGACTTGTTTTGTATATCTGATAGACCATTTGTAAAACATGTTAGAGGACGACTTACTATAGACAAAATGATAAAGATAATTTGAAGAAGGGAAGAAGGTTGAAAAAGGAGAACATCCAGATTTTTGGTTAGATCCACAGGATAAACAAGATTTTTAATATCCTCTTACGGTTGTCCATCGCTGGTGTCATATGTTATGTTGTCTACAGAGATCCTAAAGAACAAAATTTGTCTATCAATAAATAAAAATGGAAAGGACGAATGGTATCCCACAAAAATATAAATGGTCTATCTCATAGTTTACATGGGCTGAGTAGGGTTGTCTATTGGACTAACTGATGAATAGTTTTGTTCTGTAGATCCGATGGACAATCTGTAAAATGAATGTTAGAGGAAGACTTACGATGGACAAGAAAAACTCATGGACAAAATTTGGTATAGATCTGGTCCGTAAAAACTTACATTGACAGAGATTTCCTTTGGCCGGAATCAATGGTTCCAGCGGCTTTGCGGGTTCACTACTGTGTTGCCAGTGGTTGTTCCGCTGTCGGGAACGGTGTCTTCAACGGTGGTGACGGTGAAAATATTCTGGTCAGCCATTAGGTTAGGAAAAAAAAATTGCATCGGTGATAGAAAGGAGTTGGAGAACTTATTTAACAAAAAAAAATAGAAAGGGTGAGTTGTTTATCCATTTGATAATACTTCGTTGTTGTTGCTGAAAATCTGATGGGTAAGAGAGAAAAGGTTGAAAGTTACGCTTTTGAGAAATAATGACTTTATGTCTGATTTTGCTAGGTTAATTAAAGAGAAGGACAAACATGTCTTTCTATCTATGGGCTGTGGCAGGGGGGAGAAGCCCATAAAAAAATTGGCAGTCCATACAAAAATAATCACTGTACTTGGCATAATATATAATATTCTCTATTTGTTATCATATATTACAATTTTATGTTTAGAATGGATGTTGGTTTGCATATATTATTAGTATATAAATTTAAGTTAAGAAATGTTTATATATTATTATTAGTCATATACTATAAATTATACTAAATGTGAAAGAAAATTGAAAATACAAAAATAATATAACTAAAGGTTAATTTGGTAATATTGTATTCTAATCACACTCAAAGCACATCCTAATCGCTTTGCCATTCAACAATACGATGTAACCACATCGCACCCGAATCGGATTTCCATTCACAATTCTAACTAATCGCATCGCTCCCACACTTGAATCGCAATCGCATCCGAAACGGACTGCCATTCGGTAGCAAGCGAGAGTGGTTAGTATACTTGTAATGAATCATTTCTTCTGGTATCTCTGCGCCCCCACCCCGAAACTGACCCACAGGCCACAGCACAGCGCCCATTCGCTTTGCGCGCGGGAAAGCAACGAAGTGATCTGATTTCATTCCGGGATAGGCGGCTAATACTAATCTAATAAGTGAGAATAACTCCTTACCTTTTTTCAAGAGAAGCCTGATTCTAGTCAGGATTGAAAAGATAATGACGAACCTTAAATGATATGTGACTTGACCAAATAATTCTATATAGCCCACAAAATAAAGCAGTCAAGTTTAGAAGATGTTATTTATGATAAGCTTAATAGATTTGTCATTTGTGGTTGTAGACAATTTATGTAGGATAAGAATTGATTTTATTTATTTCGATATTTTTATTATCTTAAAATATATTATTCTCTTTATTTGAAATTAATATTGTTTTCAAAATCTTCCCAAATTTAATGTTATTTTATAATCTTAATATAAGATTTGATGTACAGTCAAAAGTTTGTAGAAATATGGTAAAAGTTATAATTTATCTTTTAGTTTGAATGATTATTTTTTAAAGATGCTTATTGAAGGAAATGTATAGTTATCATTAAGTTTCAAAAATAACTTTCAATCAATACCATATGATATGATGAATAATAATTATTGACTAGCATTAAATTATGACAACACAATGAGTTATAACATTAATTCAATGTATTGACTATGACCAAAAAAATTGGCAAGAAATTTAATTTTGATGTGTAAATAGTTAAATTTTATATAATAACATAACCACATAGATATTTTAACAAATCATTCAATGTAAAACCAAACCAAATCCAACATAATTTGGTAAAAAATTTAATTGGTCTTTGAATTAAATATTATTAAGCAACTTAAAAACATTCCACATAATAGTAAATAGTAATTAATTTTACATCTTTGACTAGTATTAGTTTCTGAAATCTTATCTCCTAATTTCAAGTCTATTTAAATGAATTTGCATGTCCTCTTCATCATATCCCAACAAAAAAAACTATAACAACAAGAGAGATTAAAGTCATATAGCAACCATGCCAAGAAAGAATGTAAAACTTGCATGGGTTGAGAATGACAAGGCAAGAGCAAAAAGTTTAAAGCAAAGGAGAGAAGCATTACTCAAAAAGGTGAAAGAGCTAACCATATTGTGTGATATACAAGCTTGTCTAATCATTTTCAGTCCTAATGAAGTTGGTCCAGTGGTGTGGCCATCAGTTGAGAAGGCTCGTGGCCTCTTAGACGATTTCTTTGCCTTACCGGAGCTTGCGCAGAAGAATAAAGAGACGAGTATCGAATCATTTCTAAAGGAGAAGACGAAGACCGTTCATAAGAAGTTGATGGAGAGTGATAAAAAGAATAAAGAGTATGTCATTGATGAGTTAATGATGCATTTACAAAACGGTCGTGCGATAAGTGATCTTAACTTAAGTGAGATCTATGCATTACTATCTTTCTCAAAAGAGAAAATTATACATTTTAGGAATGAGCTAGGTTTCATGCAGTTCTCTCCTCTTCGTGATCCACCAATGCTTCCATTTGAGGTGCAAGTCGAGCAGCTGATGATCCCCACAAAGCATGATGTTGTAGCAACTACAAGGGAGACTAAAAATCACTACTTAATAGATCAATGGGTTCTCGATCCCAAACCACTTGAGCCTTTAGGTTATCAACGAAGTTACTGTCCATACAAAGGAAGCAGTAGCAATGGAAACCCTAATTTGGAGATGGAGCTCTTTTGTCCTGAAGTGATGTCTTTCTTTGGTTTGGGTGAGTCTACTGCTCAACCATTACAACATCATAACATGAATGATAATCCAATAATGGATATGAATCAAAGAGAACAATACTCTTTTGATTTCATGAGTCATGAGATGGAAATACAAGAGGAAGGGAACAACAACGCTACAATGACCAACGATGATGTTCGCCAAGAGCCACCTCGTAATGAAACAACTAATATGGCGATGTTTGATATCAATAGGGATTGGCTGAATTTGAATAATAATCATTTCTAGACTCCTAGTTGGTATTATGTTCTAAGTTTGGTATGAATTTATCTTTAAAGTTTGTTTGTTTTTTTGTTTTTTTTTTTTACTGTTTTGTCTATTTCAGTTGTGAACCTTTTTAAGGTTTTTACCTTTGTTATTTTGAAGTTATTTGTTTTTTTTTTCTTTGAATTAAATAGTTTTAATCATACAAATATACGCTGACTTAATATATTCTTTATAAACTAAAATCGTTATATAATCTCGTTTGATTGTGAATATTAAACTCTAATCTATGTGATAAACCCAAACCGACATAACTAAAAACTAATTTAATAATTTAATTACTGTATTTCCTAAGATTAACTTATAGTTGACTAACTTATTGTAATTTTTTTCTTTTTTTGTGTGTTAGTTTCTTAATTCCTTAGACCTAATTTTTATTAATAATTTCATTTTATAATTACTATCTTTTTTCCTTTAGGATTATTATTAAGTACTTGTTAAATTTTCTGACTTTTTATTGTTTCTTTCTGTTTTAAAAATATTATTTTTAAAAAATTATTTATATTATTTTTTTACCATTAATTATCTGACATATATCAACATCTTATCAATTCAATTAACACATGTTACGTTCTTCTTAATTAATGACTAACTTTGAAAACCTAACTTTATATAATAAGATTAGACTTTATATCCACTTTAATTGTCGTAATAATTTGTACTACTTTGTGAGTTTGACCCCAAACAAATTTTTTGTGACTTTGACCCCAAAAAAGTTTCGAATGTATTTTTATCTTTGTAACAACAAACAAAAACCACAATGAACATAAGATAGATGTTACCATTCAGCACAAAAACATCTACCTTATTTTTGATTTTTGAGTTTAATAGTGTTTTCATTATCTCCAACAAACAACAAACAGAGATCAAAAACTAAAAATAGGTTGTGATTACTGATTAGAACTGTCAAAATGGGTGTGTTGTACATGGTCCGTCCATATCCAATTTATTATAGACCGTAATGAAATAATCCATAATAAAAACGGGTCTAAATGACCTTGATCATCTTTTAAAAAAAAATATGATTATATAAAACAATCATCGGATCGAGTATAGGTTTTGGATTTCTAATCGACCTTAATTATCTAATGTTGAATAAAAATATGAAATAACTAAATTTCTGTTTTCTTTTTTTTTTTGGAATATCCACATTTCGATCCTTGTTGGAAAACTCAAAAAAGTCACTATGTCCATGTCAGGCAACTAGACAAAGCTATTTATTTAATTTCCCAACCAAAAAAAAAAAAAAAAAAATCTAAATCACGTTCTTCTTCGTCTCAAGATCCAGAAAACTAAACTAAACTAGAAGATGAGTTCAAGATCTGTCCTTACAACAATCTTGCTAAGTCTTTTACTAGTTGAGTTATGCTATGGAGGTTTCACAAGTGAATATGTCAGAGGAACTGATTTGCCCGATGACATGCCATTGAACAGCGATGTCTTTACAGTTCCTCCTGGTCCTAACACTCCACAACAAGTTCATATAACTCAAGGGAACCATGAAGGTAATGGTGTGATCGTTTCTTGGGTTACTCCGGTTAAGCCCGGTTCAAATACTGTTCGATATTGGTGTGAGAATGAGAAGTCGAAGAAGCAAGCTGAAGCTACTGTTAACACTTACCGGTTCTTTAATTACACTTCTGGTTATATCCATCATTGTCTCATCGATGATTTGGAAGTAAGTACTTATAAGTTTGAAGCTGTTTTGGATTTCGATTTGGTTTCGGTTCTGTTTTTTTTTTTTGATTCTATGGTACCTACTTCTAAATTCAGGTTTTAATTAACTTTTTTAAAAATTGGATGTGTTTGGAATCATTGGATTTAAATTTAGTTTCTTGAATATAGAAAAAGTATATTTATTTAAATCTTATTAATAATAGGTTTTGGGATCAAACCTTTAAGATAAATAGGTTTTTTACTCTTTCCGTTCAATGCAAAATTAATTAGTTTTTTTTACTAAATTTTAACGATTATATTCGACGGATTGTTGTATTATTGGTTGAATCGTGTTTTGATTTTCGGTTTAAAATAAACTAAAATTAAACGATTCCTTAACCGCAAAAACCTTCAAAATCAAGTATTAAAAGATGGAGGGAATGTTAAATATTTAAACTTTTAACAACTTTTTGTTTTGTATTTAGTTACTGTTGTTTATGGTACTTCTAAATGAAGGTTTTAATTAATTTAAAAAACAATTGGATGTGTTTGGATTCAATTTTAGTAGTTTCTTGGGTATGGAAAAGTAATTTTATTTAAATCATATTAATAATTGGTATTGGGATTAAATCTTTAAGACAAGATAGGTTTTTTCGATGTCAATGCAAAATTAATTAGTTTTTAATGAATTTTAACGATTATATTCGACGGATTGTTGTATTATTGGTTGCATCGTGTTTTGATTTTAGTTTTAAAATAAACAAAAATTTAAATGATTTCTTGATCGCAAAAGCCTTAAACATCAAGTATTAGAAGATGGAGGGAGTATTAAATATTTAAACTATTAACAACTTTTGTTTTGTATTTAGTTACTGTTCTTTTTTCTTTAATTCTTACTCATTATAGATGGTTATGTGCAGTTTGATACAAAGTACTACTATGAAATTGGTAGTGGCAAGTGGCGTAGACAGTTCTGGTTCTTTACTCCGCCTAAGTCAGGCCCTGATGTACCTTACACCTTTGGATTAATCGGTATATTAACTAAAATGTTGTCTTAAAAATCATGTTTATGAGCTAACAAGTGTGAGTGACACATCAAACCTCAAACTAAATGTCCAGGGGATTTGGGACAAACATATGACTCAAATAGTACATTAAGCCACTATGAGACGAATCCGGGGAAAGGACAAGCTGTTCTGTTTGTAGGAGACTTGTCTTACGCGGATCGCTACCCGAACCACGACAACAATAGATGGGATACTTGGGGAAGGTTTGCTGAGAGAAGTGTTGCTTATCAACCTTGGATATGGACTGCAGGCAATCACGAAATCGACTTTGTTCCGGATATTGTAAGTAATTGAGTTCTTCCCTTTCTTGTTTTCGCTTTCTTGAGGAAGTACTTGTAACTTAACTTGAAGAGTTTGGTTTACAGGGTGAAATAGAACCATTCAAGCCTTTTATGAATAGGTATCAAACGCCATATAAGTCATCAGGAAGCATCTCTCCATTGTGGTATTCGATCAAAAGGGCGTCGGCTTATGTTATTGTTATGTCTTGTTACTCATCTTATGGTAAGGAATCGAAGAGACGAACTGCTTTAAGAAATTATTCAGAAGCTTGTTTGTTGCTTATGTTTATAATATTACTGATTAGGTAAATATACTCCTCAATACAAATGGCTGGAAAAAGAGTTGCAAGGAGTGAATCGAACAGAGACGCCGTGGGTTATAGTCTTAGTACATTGCCCGTTTTACAGTAGCTATGTGCATCATTACATGGAAGGTGAAACATTGAGAGTCATGTATGAAGAATGGTTTGTCAAATACAAGGTTGATGTTGTGTTTGCAGGTCATGTTCATGCCTATGAAAGATCGGTAATTTCAACTTACTTGTCCCCAATAGTATTGATATCTATATATCTACACCTCCCTTGTCCCTCAAGCGATAACTAAAATAATGATGTAGGAACGTGTTTCTAACATTGCTTACAACATTGTCAATGGACTGTGTGAGCCAATATCGGATGAGTCAGCTCCTGTTTACATCACTATCGGGGATGGAGGAAACTCCGAAGGCTTGGTTACCGAGTAAGTTTACCATATTCGTGCTATCGCGTGTGTGTAAAGATCGGCTAAAGAAAGAGTTTTATGTCAATAACAGAGTTAGTTACAGTTTCTCTGCATTTTCTCTGTTATTTGATACAAAGCGTTTGTTATATATGTAGCATGATGCAGCCACAACCAAGCTACTCCGCCTTTCGAGAAGCTAGCTTCGGGCACGGGCTACTAGAGATTAAAAACAGAACTCATGCCTACTTCAGCTGGAATCGTAACCAAGATGGGAACTCTGTAGCAGCAGATTCTGTGTGGTTGCTTAATCGGTTTTGGCGAGCTCAAAAGAAGACACAAATTGATGCATTTTAAAACACAAACTTAAACAAGGTTGTATTGTTTCTGCAATTCTAAATAAATAAATCAATCAATGACTATTTTATAAAAGGTAACTTTGTGAAAGCAAAGAAAGTACAATTCTATCATCTCCAACTTTGGTTTCTCTTTGTCTCTCCCAAATTTGCATTAGCATTGACCAAGATTAGTCGGTTTTATACTCCTCCCACGGCCGAAACTCGACCGCCTCCACCAACTCCACCATCACAAGTGAAAGCTCCTCCGCAGCTCTCTCTGCAATAGCCTCAGCCTCCAATTTTCTATCTTCAAAGTCCAGCGACATTCTCCTGACTTCATCTCTTAGCTCTAGAAACTCATCAATCTCTTCATCTTTTATCAACCATCTCATATTTTGAATCTCGTCGATGATTTCTTGTGTAACAAGGTAGCTAAGATTAGCCCTATCAGCTGTTGTTTTCGCTGCTTTGGCGGTTTCTTGGATAACAAGATAGTTCTTACAAACTTCATCACCTACAGATTCCACAATGTTGTCTCTCGAATCTTTGATATCCTTATAAACTCGTACTTCATCCCATATTTCATCAACATTGAGGTTCAAGTAGTCCTTCAGAGTTACAAGTTCTGAGTAGATAAATTTCTTCATCAACTCTCTACATCTCCTCATCTTCTCTTCATCATCTCTCAACTCTTCACGTAACTCTAAGAGTTTGGCTGACAAGTTTTTTCTATGATTTTCAAGACGTGAGCTGACAATATGCTCCAAAAACTCTGTTTCTTTTTCCATCTTCTCTTCATCTTCTCTCAACTCTTTCACTATATGTCTCATCTTCTTCACTTCCTCGCTCACATCTCTTACATCAACAGTTTCATCACCACCTTCTGAAAAAACCAATGAAAAAGTTATAATTGTATACATTAGCAATCAATCCCTATATGGTTAATGATGATTATGAGACTCGAACTAGAGACCTAAGAAAATACTCTTTTTATAAGGTTTAAAGAACGTAATAATTAGATAATTAAAAACAAAACATTATAGCTAGGGTTTCTTCATGTACAAATACAAAATAGTTACCTGTTGGTATCAAACCCTCATTGTTGTGAGGTTTAGAAGATCTTCCAAGGTACTCAAAGATGTAAACTGAGTGGTTTGCGATGAAGATAAAAACACTGAGAGGCCAAAGGAACATGTACTGATCAGCCCCAAAGCTTTTGAACGCCAATAGAAACATGAAGCGATCCGACAGAAACAGCGAGAACCCACTAATACCCTAATCAATTAGAGAAGAAAAGATAATGAGATTGTAACACCAAAGTCAAACGTAGATAATTTAAGATTGTATACGATTTTACTTACAGAGAGTTTAGGGCATAAGGAGATCAAGATTAATGAGAGAAGAGTCGAAAAGATTAGGACAAGACCGATCAGATTTGTGTGTACTTCGGAGGAGACAAGAAGCAAGAAGAGAAACAAACGTTCTGTCCAAAACAAAACAGTTGCTAGAAGTTCTACTTCTTGTTCAAATCTTTCTCCTTGTTCAATAATATTCATCGTCCTCATCAGTCAAAAACTTTTGGCCAATATTGATACAACACTTTTTTCTGATATTTGATGTTAATTGTATTTATATATTGGTTTACAAATTCGTTTACGAAGATAAAAAGGATTTGTATATATATTGTATTTAGGATTTGTGTTTAGGGCTAATTTTCATGAATCTGATAAAACAAAATAAAAAGTAATATACGTGTTGACACGTATCTTAGCAAATTGAATTTGCTGAATTTGCAAAAAAAAAAAAAAAAAACGTGAATAAAGGATTTATTGAAGATATCAATTGCAAATCTATATATACTTAGGATATGTAACGTAACTATCTCCTCTTTCTCGATGTTAATATATAGTTAAATTAGACAAAAAAAAAAGGAAAAAAATAAGAGAAATTCATTTTTCACCAATATTGCACTTTCAGTTTTTTTTTTCTCTATATATATATTAATTATTTTAAATATATATTATAAGTTGAACAAAGGGAAGTTAAAATATATTTTTAGTTATATGATTTGAATAAGTTGAACAAAGGGAGGTTCAAAATTTTTGAAAATGATTCTAACAGATTTTGTTGAGTTTCTCTATAAGTAACTTTCGTAATTAATCATTCTCTATAGAGACTTTTAACTTATTAGTTGGTGTCAATTTATTAAAGTTATATACATTATAATCATATAATTGATTCATATACACATGCAAATCACATGGATCTAGAGCACAAAGATGAGAATGTGTTATCCTTAATATGCACGCAATCAGCTACATTCAGCTACCATAAACTGTTCACCTAATATGACTCACAAAGAATATATTAATTAAGTGCTTTCTCCGTTCTATAATAGATGATCTTTTAAGCAATTTGCACACAGATTACCATGCGAAAGTTGAGAAACTTCTTGGTAGCATGTTTCCCAGAGCTTACATTGAACACTTTGTACTTTGTTTCCAAAGCACTCCACAGCTTTTTAGACGTCGTCACTTTGCTGTATATTTAATATTTTCTTATTTCTATATAAAACATCATTTAACATCTTTATAAACACAGTTTAACCATTGAAAAATAATCTATATATAAATGGTTGAAATCAATAAAAAAAACTAATTACTTTTGCTAGATTAGTGAGAACATCATATAATTTTGGGGAAAAATATAAAGCCAAAAATCATCTGTTTGGGTTATGTTAAAACGGTTTCATTTTGTATTTGACGGATTTCGTTAATGACATTCAAACCCGTTTAATTGCTCCGTTTGGCGTCACAAACTTTATGTTGACTCTCTCTTTAATATGAAACTTTAGTTGACTTTGCCAATTTAGGCACATCTTTAAAACGCCAAACAGTTGGAAAGTTCGAGATTTAAACCAACGAAATCGTACTCTCCAGGATTTTTATGGCATTTTTCCCATTCTAAAATGGAGAGATTATCATTTTCGATTCTGACGATATGATGAAGCATGTAACTCCACAAATTTCAAACAAAAAGGACGTGAACAGAATAACCGAAAACACAAAAAAAAAACCTCGGAAAATTATTAAGCGTTTGAGACATATGACATATCCAATGTATTCATAGTAGTCTAAATAAATTCAAAAGTAAATAGTTTGAAATCCTAAAAATAGTAACTTAAATCATCATGGGAGTGAGGTTTAGGTTGTGGAAACAACACCAAACTCGACCTCTATATTCAAAGCGCCATCCATGTCCAAGTAAGTCTTCCTAAGATCATCCATAGACACAAATCGAGCGTACCCCCAAGATGAACTATCTTTGCATGCTGTGCCATGTGTTACCTACAAAGAAAATTGTTATGTGATAATTTACTCCATATATCGACAGTGTATTACTACAAAATTGTCTCTCAACACTTCAACTAGAAGACCTACTTGAACGTGACAAATGGTTGGATCCATGATGAGAACATAACCGAAGTAAACCAATGTCGACTAAGATAAGGATCGAAACGATGAGAATATCATGCGTGATCTGTTAGTGGTTTTGGATAGATTATGTTAAATCTTTGATTCATGTATATCTCCTATATTCTAGGATCTAGATAGCTCATCCTTAATATGTATTAATACTCATAACATCTTATGATGAAATATATGGGAAAAAATGTTTAAAGTCTATTGTTCTTATAAGCTCTTGATTGGGACCTATCAATCCACGAGGGTCTAGAATTCGAATAACAGCTTGCTTAAAAATCTGTTCATCTTCCTCAATTGTTTCACTCTCGTCGAGGCTTAGAAAAATCGATATCCATTTGCTTTCATCTCGTGTTAAGATGGCCTTGGGATACAAGTCTATAACCCTATACAGTATATATGTGTCACGTACATATATGTATCAACAATACCACTAAGACAAGAGAACGTATTCATTCATGCATATACAAGTATGTACGTACTTACCATTGCCTTCCTTCAATTGTAAACCGGGGTGATTTGTGACGATAATCTTTCATCTCAGAGAAATTCTGATCATTCCAAGAGAATTTTGGATAATGGAGATTGTTATTAAATGAGATGATTTCCCAATTAGTAGGCGGTGGAGCAACAATTACATCAACACCAAACTCGCATTGATCTTGATTGACATATCCATTTTCAGGGTCTTTGAATATACTAAGCGGAATCACTTGAGGCAATCAAGCTATTGAACGGCTTCGATTCGACATATGTATATACATATATATGTTTAATGATTAGAAATGTAATCAAAGAAGATGCATATATGTAATAGTAATTAGATGTAAGATATGAACATAACCTACCATGAATAGTACAATACTTGTTTAGTTTTTAGTTAAAGACGAAAAACCAAAAATCCGCAAACACCTCATCAGTTGATGGTTTTGAGGACAAGCTAGTGCTATCTAATTTCACATACATTGAAATAAAATCACTTCCATTGTCCTCATTGTTCCCTTTCGGATACAAGATCATCCTCCTGCGTTAGCATTAGTTAAAGATGATGATTAATGCATCTTCTTCAAGTTTGAAGGGCAAGAGAAAGATTTGGTATGCACTTATATAGGGACTATACATGCATTGCCATGCCCATGCATACGTACCAGTTGTAGCCACCAGAGGAGAAGATACGGGATTGATATTTGCCATCAGAGTAGAGAGTTGAATTCTCGAGCTGTGAGAAGTTTTGGATCTTTAGTGAATATGAAGAAGGAGAACGTTGTCTCAAGCTCCGGACAGTTGTAGAAGACATTCTTTTACCCAAAAACGACATGAACTGTGTTGTGACCTAAACAAGAGATAGAGAAGAGTACTTTGAGATGGTCATAGAGATCAAAATTTTCACTAAAGAAACGTTCTTATATTAGAAACAAAGGTGTCTCGGAAATTGCATTATAAAGACTATATAGTATAGCACCTCTTGCATACAAATTTTTGGAATTAATTCCTAGTTTGTAACGATTTATATACCTAAATTCCAAAGTCAAATTTTATGATTTAGGTAAATTGATGAATTCTATATGACTATCAGAGCCGGCCCATGGGCCAAGCTGGTGAAGCATCAGCTTGCGGCCCTCGATATAATACATAAAATTCGGCTTTTTTTGCAAAAGTTTCTTTTAGTCCAGTAGTACATGTATGCACCCCAGTTCGAGTCACATACTTGTATTCAACCAGCCATTTATTACTTTTTGATTGTGGCCTGAAATTTTTTAGAGACTATATTGTTATTACCTGGAAACTCTGAAGTGGTACGGTGGATCGAAACGACTTGAGGTTGTGTAACACTCTTAACATCGTGTCTTTACCGGTGAGATCCTAGCTACCTCAAGAACTCGACGAACGTTTTCGTGTGAATCAAGGTTTCTTAGCTCACTCCACACCTTTGAACTAGAACGTGTTATCGTCTCTGCGGCAAAAGAAATAACCCCCTTGTTTATATATTTACTTATGTATATATATGTTAGATAAGGATTACAAGCTTTATCAAAATAAAGATTGACTTTACTTGTGTTGAAAAAGACCATAAACTTTATTTGTGGTGAATTAAATAGCGAACTTTAGTTGACTTTTAGATAAAATTGTTAACTTTTGTTGACTTAGTTAATTAAGACATGTAGTTTGGTTAACTCACATTAATGATATGTGTATATAAATTATAAAAAATTTAAATATATAGATCAAAATTTTTTAACAGTTTTTCGAGTAAATCTTCAAATAACATTTTTTATTTAAAAAAAAAGAGTACCGCATATCATAATTTAAAAGGGGAAATTAGCATATAATACTTATCCAATTAAAATAAAACAGAATTTTTTCTAAGTTTTCTCAAATTTCTCAAATTTTATATTTATCATCAAACTAATTATTTTAGTTTTTTCTTTTTCTTTTAAGGGAATCAAATATCATAATAAAAAAATAAACATTATCATAACCATCCAAATTAAAATTTAAAACATAAATTTACTTTGTATTTATGTTAATGTCATATATTGTATTGTGGCTTGTGTAGGTTTGTAGCAATTAGAGTTGCATAACTATCGAAGGTTGAAACTGTAGCAATATCCTTGGTATACTTTACATTTCTTTCAACTGTTGGTGGTACCTGAAGGTTACGCAGAACCGGCATGAACATAACAATGATTTTGGCCCCAAAATTTTCAAAAATATATATATAACATAATATTATTGCAAATAATCCTCGAATGTTTTTCACTTTTACAAAAAATACCCCTAATTTTTTAATATCAAAAAAAACCTTGCTCAAAAAAATCATTTATTATAGAACAAAGAAAGTATATTATATTAGAAAAATTCCGCTAACTAAACTGGAAAAATTTGGAAGCCTCCTTGTCCAAGTAGTGTTGACTAAAAGTTTAATAATGCTTTTACATCAAGAGGTCTCGAGTCTCAGACAATGTGATTTATTAACAATTATACAAATTTAACGAGGCAAGTTCCTAAGAAATCTCCAGTGATGACAATTAGAGCGGTTCACCGGAAATCCACCTATTGAAAGAGAAGAAGATGTCTAAGATCAGCAAGAAAAATAAGGTATTGAAGATCAACATTGGATTTAGCAAGGAGAAAGAGGCATTCAAAATCAATGTGGAGTGTAGTCAATAGTGGATCTAATTGGGTTGGAAGGAATTGCGCATAGTAGAATTATCAATATAAACGTTCTCATAATCTATAATAATTAATAAATTTAAAAATGATAAAAAAAACTGGAAAAACTTGTTTTTTTTTTCTTTTTTGGAAACACTGGAAAAACTTGTTAACATACAAAAAAAATGCAGTGAAAAACACATATATTTTGTGCTAACCTAAAAAACATTCTTTTTTTACTATAGTTTTCTTTATGATGTACCATGACATGACCATGTGAGCAGAAAAAGTGGTATTATGACCACATGTTATCAAAATTGAGATTCATGGTAACAAATTTTTCAGTATAAACACACTTTTCTCGAATCATTTATAGTTTTCATTCGATTCAAATTCTGACTCAATGAGAAAAAGTTACATTTACGACAAATGTTGTAAAAGAATTAAAAAATGGTATAAAAGAAGCTATGTTCTCCTATTCACATACCCACATAAACATATGAAATTACATAATTTTTAAAAATAAGTAAATAAATTACTATTAATTCCCTCAAACAAAAACAAAATAAAAACCCCAAAAGATTCATAATTTGAAGAAGAAAGAATTCAAAAGCTTCCTGATGACGTGTCCCTCTGTGACGGGCTTCTCCAAAACCCAGCCCCATAGAAACGTTCCAACATCTCATTCTCAAGCCTAACGACGTCGTTTAAATCACCACCACTCACGTGACATTCCTCAAAAACAATCTCAGCCGTCAGATCATCTTCCTTCAATCTAGCGTGTACGGTGCTCTCGCTCCCTTCCGCCGTAGCTGACGCAAGCAAACCATGCCGTTTCCTCGTAAAACGTCGTCGTTTGCTTCGTCTCCAAGCTTTTTTACAAACCGCCGCCGGAACTTTATACACGGCCAAAACCATCAGATTCACAACCGCACATGGACAACAACACCACACCGCCGCACACTCCGCCGCCGCTCCTCCCGCTACTTCCCCAACTTTTCTCCTCTCTTTACTCAACGACGTCGGTGGAGAAGATAAGTTCCTCATCGTCGGTGATTCTTCCGACGGCGATTTCAGAATCACGTGACGAGTCATTTACTCACGTGACACGAATTAAACGGGTTTTGGTCCCGGTTATCGAGAATTAGTCCTCCGGTTATCGAGATTTTTCCCGGTTATTGAGATTCAGATTAGTGAAATAACCTTTAAAATTTTTCTCAGATTTCTCCAAGAAAACAGAATCTGGTGAGAACTGACCTTAGAAGAAGGTCATTCATCATTGATTCTTAAAGGTTATGTGACTAATCAAATCATGAAGATGAAGATCATCCCAAGGAGAAGGAGGAGGAGGAGAAAGTTGTGGATGGTTAAAGTAGAAATAGGGGAGAAGAAGGAGACGATGGTTAACGAAATTTTTTTAGATGAGTTAAAAAATAGCTGTGTTTTTTTTTTGTAATTTTCTAGGAATGGTTGTAAATTTTCCGAGAAAGTGTGAGAGAGAGAAAGAGAGAGAAACGTTTGGTCAGAGATGATAACTGAATCAGAGAAAGGTAAAAATGGAACCGAGAAGGTCGGAGAAGATATATATAAATTTAACAGTTAAAGATTTTTTTTCTTTTTTTTTTTTGTATTTCTAAATTTAACACACGATAATATTGTATTGTAGTTGTTATATTTATAAAAATAATTATTTATTGAAAAAAACCTCTAAAACTAAACAAATAAGAAAAAGTTTGTTTTTTGGATTCTCTTAAATATTTGTCGGTTTTAAAATTTGATTTTAATGGTTTGACATTTTAACTACTTTCAATAACTTCTATCAATATTTCGTTTCGCCAATTTCAGAAAAAAAAAATTAAATTTAAATCTTTGAATTTTTTTAATATTCGAATTGATAACATTGTTTGACCGTTTTTTTATGGTTTTGTCTTCGAAAAACTATTATAATTTTAGAAAATAAAAAACTTTCCGAAAAATAAAAATTTAAAATGTTTTGAACTAATATAAATTTCTTGTTTTAAATATTTGTTTTATGTTTTTGTATTCGAAATTTACCCTTTAACTTAAATTTTTTTTAATAACTAATATATTTGGGACTTAAAATATAGCTAATATATTTGGGACTTAAAAAATATTTTAAATCCCTTCTCATACGCCCCAAATATTTAATAAAAATGATTCTTTACTGAAAAAAGAAATAAAAATAATCGATAATATTCACTTTGGCTGCGATTGATTATTTGAGAAAGACAGAGACTTGTTTGGTTTGGTCCACACGTGACCGTGTGAGAGTGAAATCTTGTTATAAAGTCGTTTTTGGACTTCTCTTCTTTTTAGGGTATATATATATATGAACCACAAAATTATTTGCTTATCAAAGCACCTGATTTGTACTTTCTTCAAGCTCATTTTTATTCAATCTGTTTAATCAATTTTTATGTAACCTTGCCAGCTCGATTTCTTAATTTTATATGAGTTTTTTTTGTTTGAATGGATCTTATTATGTGTAAAACGTATGGATCATACGACATGTTTGTGACAAAAGTTGTTGGATATCATTTTCAGTCTACGTGTAATCTTTAGACATTTTGTTCCACTTGCACCATTTTGCCATGTATATGGATGATGCATGTGAATTTTTTGGATCGTCCCTAAGTTTTGTCATGCTATTTTAAGAATTAAGATGAATTTCTAAAAGTAAAACCAAAATTTAAGAAGACGGTCAAAGTCAAGAATGAGTTATGACATTTAATTACTTAATTAGTGTGGGATCTTTTCAAGGATACATTGATCACTCTTGATTCAGCACTTAGGGCATGAATGGAAAGCACATAAAAAACAATTATCCTACCAAACATAAAATAAATACGATGCAGTTCAAAAAAAATTATTATTAAAAAATAATTATCCGGCTGACATATCAAAACTTAAAAGAAAATTGTACTGCACTATTGTAACAACCCGTTTAGTGGGATCATCCGCCATGTGGCACACCTCGCAGATCAATTGGTGACAAATTCCACGGTGGGAAGGTTGTTAAAGAGTGAGGACCTGGGTTCGAGGAACGCCAGGCGCACCAATAACCTACCTGGTGGGCCAGGAGGCTGCGAGCAAGTGGGCTGCGCAGTTTGGACCCACAGGAGAGAGGTTAGGGTCGATGCGCTGCAGCGCTTGTAGCTGCCATATGGCGGGGTGTGCCATGTGGTAGGGATTCCCACCGGGATGGGTTGTTAGAACTATGAACAGTAAAAACGCTGGAGATTTGGAGTGTTTGATTCGCTATATCTGTTTGATCTGTTTTTGTTCTGCTAGATATGCTTGAAACGCTTGATCTGCTATGCCCGATATGCTCTCTCCATTTGAAGCCTTAGTTCATGCATGATCTATATATAAGGGTTAGAGTTTTGAATCGAGTAGAGAATGATCAAAACTTTAGTATGATATTTGATCAATCATATATGTGAATAACAATGATAGCTTTAGATATCTTGATTTGAGGCTAGGTGACCTAGATCTCTTTCAAAAATATTGCATTGTAATAGAAACATCCATAAGTATGACCCATCTGGAATCTCTCCATAAATTCTATCGCTAAAACTCTTCAAATCAAAAGTTATACTACTAAAACTACCCGAAAATCATAATGCTCATCAATATCCCCATAAATCTAGGTTTACTGTTTGCTTAACCGACTAACAAATACACTAAACCAGATTAAACATAATCTAAACCAATTATAAACATGTTACACCTAATTGAACCAATTACAATTACGACGAAGATGAGGAAGGAGGAGACAACGACGATTGTTTTTATGAGTCTCTTGACGTTTAGAGTTTAGACTCTTCATCTTCTCTCTCTTACTATGTTTCTAACTCCAATTTACGATTTCAAATCCTACCTATTTCTCCCTTAAAAATATTACATCTTATCAGAAAAACCAATAACTATGATTCTGTCTCAGATCTCCCAAAACAAATGTCTCTCAATCTATATTACCATGTTGGACAAGCTGTAAATGTTGGAAAATGTTACATGTGGTAATAAACAAGAAAAAAAGCAACCATAACAGAAAAGTTACAAGGATAACAAAACAAACACTTAAAAGACTAATACAATGGACTAGTAAAAAGAAACAAGAAATAAAGAAACAAAATGAGTACAAAGAAGATTTGACGACAATCTAGGCTAGCAACGAAAAAGAAGAAAATATACTAGATGAGCAAACTGGGAGAAGAGCCAAGTAGAATAAGATAACTAGTAGTTGGTAGTAAGAGGCTAAGAGCATTCTTATTGGAAGGCTCTTATAACCGAAAAAGTATCTTAGCACAGTGTTTTGTATCGTATATAGTGCAGTAAAATCGTCATCATTTCATCCAAATTTTTTAGTTTCAACGCTTTGATCAAGTGGATGGAACAAAATCTTTGGCATCAGATTTATCATTTATGTTTCCATGTTTTGTTCCTTTTATATTTTGCTATGGAACCATTTATTATAGATCTTTAATCATCATCAATAGGTATACATAAACGGGAAAAATGTCAATTAAACCCTGAACTTGTTGGTCAACGCCATTTAAACCCTGAACTTTGCCTAAGGCCATTTAAATCGTGTAGTTTTGTTTGACTATTATTTTAAACATCACATTTTATTAACCAAGCCAATTTACACATATCGTAAAATCATAAACCGGAGCAACTAAACAACATTTAGCATCCGTGTTAAACCATTCGTTATTTACAGAACGAGTTTTTCCGTGAATCAAAATATCAAAAAAATCCCCAAATCACACAATTAAACCCTAATTTCCAAATCACCCAAATAAACACAATTCTCTCTTTGCGATTCAGAGAAGAGGAACACGTTCCGGTACAAAACGATTTAGGCACCACAAGGCGTTTTAGAGGCTGTGACCGCAGATGAAGTTGGAGCACCACCGGAAGGCATTTCAAAGGCTGAGATCGAATACAGAGTTGAAGCTCCACAGCAAGGCCTTTTTCAGAGGTCGAGAAGAAGAAGAATTCTAGTTTAAAATTGTGAAGAGGAAAAGGTGAAGAAGAAGAAATTGAGAAATTGAGAAATCGATTTTGTGTTTAGAGTAATGTTTTTTTATTTGGAGATTTTTTTTTCTTATATGCACCGTGTAAATTGGCTTGGTTAATAAAATTTGATGTTTAAAATGATAGTCAAACAAAACGCGATTTAAATGGCCTTAGGCAAAGTTCAAGGTTTAAATGGTGTTGACCAACAAGTTCAGGGTTTAATTGACGTTTTTCCCATACATAAACTGTTTTCGATTAAATAAATAAGATATTTACGTTTTTTTTTTTTTTTTTTTTTTTTTTTGAAAAAGTAAGAAATTTATCAAAAACCCATTTGTCATCGGAGGCGATTTTTAGTAGAGAGCATCGAATCCCTTTTTTGGGTATATGACCCTCTTTCTCGTCTAGTTTATTCCATTAGGGTTGAGAAGAGAGCATTTGGGAAAAAAAAACGTGTTTTCTCTTGGTTTTATTCTTCGTTTCTTCAGCCGCAACAACATATTAGATCTAATCTTCGTGTTCGTCTGTGTTTGTTCTTGGGGTTCTTAAGTTCAGCAAGGAAAACTCAACTCCAACTTCCTTTTCTCGCATAGATAAAAGGGTTTCTCAGTTTCCTTTTCTGTGGTTTTTCTAATTAAAGGTCACTAGTTCGTTTTCCAAAACCAATCAAGATGTCTGCAGCCATGGATAAGGCGTTGATGGCAATGTCACTTGAAGAAGAAGAAGATACTCCGTTCGATATGCTAGATCTCCCCGAATTCTCTTCCTCCCAAAGGAATGTGCTGAGTCTGGTAGGGAGATTACTAAACCCAGAATGCCAAGATATGCAAGCTTTGGTTAGAAATATGCCAAGGAAGTGGCAAAAATGGGGTAAAGTCACGGGAGTGGCACTTACAAAAGAAAAATTTCAGTTCATTTTCAACTCTGAGCACGATCTTCAAGATGTGCTGGATAAAGGAGCTCACACCTTCAATGAGTGGTCTATTGCTGTGGATAGATGGTACGAGCATCCACCAGACAATTATCTTCAGTTCATTCCTCTCTGGGTTCAGATCTGGAATTTACCAATCAACCATTTCACTATTGCTGCTATAACTTCGTTGGGAGAGCTCATTGGACAAGTTTTAGAAGTGGCTTACGACCCTGATAGACCACAACTACAGGAATACGTCCGAGTCAAAGTTATGTTTGATGTTTCCAGACCATTAAGAAGATCTAAAGTGATAAACATCAAAGGAGGTTCAACAACAGTGAGATTTCAGTACGAGAGGGTACAAAAACGTTGCTATGAATGTCAGAGGCTCACCCATGAAAGAGATGTTTGCCCCATCCTTGTTAAACGAAGACAAGATGAGGCAATAGCAAGAAGATTAGGGAAACCAATAGAAAGAGCAAAGAAAACCTTGGTGCTGAAAGAATCTAATCCCTTATTTGGAGTTCTGCGTAAGGAACAGGTTGGTATAGATTCTCTTACGGGTAGACCAAGAATAGCCCCTGAAGTACTGGAAGGCATGAGACAGTACTTGATGGCAGCCAATGGGGAAGATCAGAAAGTCAAGGAAGAAAGAGTGAAGAAAACTGTTGGAGAAGTAGAAAAAAATCCTATAACACAAAAAACAATCTTGCGTCTTGAAGCTCTTCCCATGGTTCATCCTGAGATCAACAAAGAGAAAGGACTTGTGTTCAATTATGATAGTGAACAATCTTCTAAACCAGATGGGGTATCAACTGGTCTAAAACTTGCATAATAGAGATTCACAAGTTGCCATGGATAGATCTTGGTTGGTAAATGATGCATCCACGTTCACACATGAAGGTGAAAGGAATTTCCTTGGGCTATCTCAGCCTTTTCAGAGTTTACCAACGGTTTTTAGGACCGGGTCCTCTGGGGCTGGTCCGTCCGGGTTTACTTCTAAAAAGGAAAAGCCAAGGAGAAGACCTACAAAGAGTAATAGAAAACCCAAACCTTTCAAACCACCAACGGATGGTGAAGCTCAAACGTTGAAGTGCGGTAAAACAGTGGGTGAGAAGGATAAAAGAAAAGCAGAAAAAGAGGGAACAAGCGCTGCTAAATCATCAAAGCTTAATCCCAAAGAGGTGATCCCAAAGGGGGGATTGCCTAATGTCCAATGAGCATTTTGAGCTGGAATTGTCAAGGCTTGGGACGGTCTCAAGACTTGGCTTTTCCTCGTCTTAGGGAATTGCGTAAAAAACATTTTCCTGAGATTTTGTTCTTAATGGAAACGATGCATGATAGGGATACTTTAGTGGATTTGCAGGAATGGCTGGGGTATAGTAGGGTGTATACAGTGGAACCAGTAGGGAAGTGTGGTGGTTTAGCAGTCTTTTGGAAGAGTAGTGTACAGATAGAAGTGAAGTATGCTGATAAAAATCTCTTAGATTTTCTAGTTCAGTTTGGGGCATCAACCTTCTACGTCTCATGTGTGTATGGGGACCCTGATTTCAAGAAAAGAAAGATGGTTTGGGAGCGAATCAGCAGAATTGGAGTTAGTAGAAGAGATTGTTGGTGTATGTTGGGTGATTTTAATGACATATTACATAATTGAGAGAAACTCGGAGGTCCAAGGAGAAGTGACTCTTACTTCAAGCCTTTCTCTGAAATGTTAAATGCTTGCGATATGGAAGAATTGACTAGTCAAGGTAATCGTTTTACTTGGGCTGGAAGAAGATATGATTTGTGGATCCAGAGTAGATTGGACAGGGTGTTTGGAAATAAAGAATGGTTCAAACAGTTTCCAGCTTCTAATCAGGCCTTCTTGGAGTTTAGAGGATCAGATCATAGACCGGTTTTGATGAAACTTTTGTCTTCTCAAGAAGCTTACAGAGGGCAGTTCAGATTTGACAAAAGATTTTTATACAAACCCCAGGTTGAAGAAGCAGTTGTAAGAGCTTGGAATCTTTCAAGTCCAAACATGGGATCTACTACAGCTGACAGACTTCGGGTTTGTAGGAAAGCTCTTAGCTCTTGGAAAAAGAAAAATTGTACTAATGCCAATGACAGGATACAACAGATGGAAGTTTCTTTGGAGAGAGAACAGTCGTCCATTTTCCCAATGCGTGACCAAGTTTTTTTCCTTAAAAAAGAACTGGCAAGAGCTTATAGAGATGAGGAAGAGTATTGGAATCAAAAGAGTAGAGAGAAATGGATGAGATGTGGTGACAGAAACTCCAAGTTCTTTCATGCTTCAGTCAAAGGAAACAGATCAAAGATGAGGATAGAAAAACTGTTGGATATCAATGGGAATTTTCAAAAATCAGAGGCAGCCAAAGGTGAAGTCGCTTGTGCATACTTTCAAAATCTGTTTACTTCATCCAATCCCCCTAGTTTTACTAGCTGGTTTGATGATTTCCAACCTAAAGTTACTGAAGATATGAACAAGACTCTTTTGGAATTAGTGACAGATGAGGAGATAAAAAATGCAACATTTTCTATAAAACCATCCAGTGCACCTGGTGCAGATGGTATGTCAGGTCTCTTTTTCCAACATTACTGGAAGATTGTTGGGCCTCAAGTTATCTCTGAAGTAAGAAAGTTTTTCGAGACAGGTATTTTTCCTTCTGAGTGGAACTATACTCATTTGTGTCTACTTCCCAAAATTCTGCATCCAACGGAAATGGCAAACTTAAGACCCATCAGTTTATGCTCAGTTTTGTATAAGATCATTTCCAATGTAATGGTGAGAAGATTACAGCCTTTCCTTCCTCAGCTGGTGTCTCCATCACAATCTGCTTTTGTTTCAGAAAGACTGATCTCAGACAATATTCTGGTTGCTCACGAAATGGTTCATAGTTTGAATACAGTCTCATCTATTTCTTCAGAATTTATGGCAGTTAAGTCTGATATGTCAAAAGCCTTCGATCGAGTTGAGTGGAGTTATCTCAGATCCTTACTATCTGCTCTAGGTTTTCATGAAAGATGGATTAATTGGGTGATGTTCTGCGTTTCTTCAGTAACATACTCAGTTTTAATCAATGATCAGCCCTACGGAATGGTCATTCCACAAAGAGGACTAAGGCAAGGAGATCCCTTATCTCCATTTTTATTTGTCTTATGTACAGAAGGATTATCCCATCTCCTTAATTCAGCTCAGTCAAGAGGTCTTATTAATGGCATTCAGTTCAATGAAGGAGGTCCTACCATTAATCACCTCTTGTTTGCAGACGATAGTCTTTTTGTATGTAAGGCTAACAAAGACCAAAGCCTAATGTTACAAAAAATTCTAAAGGTTTACGGAAAAGCTACAGGGCAGACTATCAACCTCAATAAATCTTCTATCACCTTTGGAGCTAAGGTTCATGCTTTGCAAAAAAAAGACATTCAAACTACTTTGTTGACTCAGAATGAAGGTGGAGCAGGAACATACTTAGGTCTTCCTGAATGTTTCAGTGGTTCAAAGGTTGAGATGTTGGGGTATATCAAAGATAGGTTAAAATCCAAACTTTCAAACTGGTTCTCTCGTTCGTTATCTCAAGGCGGAAAAGAAATTCTGTTGAAATCAGTGGCATTGGCTATGCCGGTTTTTGCCATGTCGTGTTTCAAACTGCCAAAGACAACTTGCTCTAATCTCTCTAGTGCAATGGCTCATTTTTGGTGGAGTTCTTTTGAACATAATAGAAAGATCCATTGGCAAAGCTGGGAAAAATTATGCTTGCCAAAAAGTCAAGGAGGTTTGGGTTTCAGGGATATTCAATTGTTCAACCAAGCTCTTCTAGCAAAGCAAGCTTGGAGGATTCTGCAATTTCCAGATTGTATTTTTTCCAAGGTTATGAAATCTAGATACTTTCCTGATTGCCAATTCATGGATGCTTACCTTGGGCAAAGACCTTCTTTTGGATGGAGGAGCATCTTACATGGAAGGGATCTGTTGGGTAAAGGGCTGATGAAAAAAGTTGGGAATGGGGCTTCAATTGGAGTATGGGTTGATAGATGGATTGATGATGAAGTTCACGGTTTGAGAGCTCCTTGGATAAAGAATGATTTCATTAATCCTGGTTTGATGGTTAAAGATCTAATTGATTTTAGCCAAAGAGATTGGGATATAGGGAAGCTAGAGGAGCATTTCTTTCCGGCTGATATACTCAAGATAAGAGCATCTAAACCTGTGGTGTCACAAGAAGATTACTGGATTTGGAAACTCAATAAAAGTGGAGACTTCTCAGTCAAATCAGCTTATTGGCTTGCAATGGAGACAAATGAGAACTCTCTGATTCATGATGCCCGCTTGCAACCATCCATTAATCCTCTTAAGGAACAAGTTTGGAAGTTGTCCACTGATCCCAAGATAAAAGTTTTCTTGTGGAAAATTTTAAGTGGAGCCTTACCAGTAGCTGATCTGCTATCGCACATATGTATGAAAGTCGATAGTAGATGCCAAATGTGTGGTATGGAAGGAGAATCAATAGAACATGCCTTGTTCACTTGTTCTTTATCTAGACAAATTTGGGCTTTATCTGATTATCCAATGCCACCAGATGGGATGCAGATGGGTTCTCTCCTTTCTATTATCCATCATTTTCTCGTTAACAAGGATAATATTAAATGGCCTTGTGAGCTAAGGAAGAGCTTCCCTTGGATTATTTGGAGGATTTGGAAAAACATAAATTTGTTTTTCTTTGAAGGTAAAAGATTCTCTTCCTTAGAGTCGGTTCAGAAAGTTAAACAAGATGTAGAGGAGTGGTTTTTGGCTCAGGTTATTCAAGCTGAAGGGACTGCTGAATCAACATCTCAATCAGTTGGAGCCATGTCTTCACCGTTAGCAAATGACGAAGTTTGGAAATCTCCCAATATTGGATGGTTAAAGTGCAACGTGGGGATCTCTTGGTCGAATCGAAATTTGTTGGCTGGTGGTGCATGGGTTCTAAGGGATGAGAAAGGGGAAGTGTTGTTACACAGCAGAAGAGCCTTCTCTTCTATTAATACGAAGGAGGAGGCAAAACTCCATTGTGTTATTTGGGCAATTCAAAGCATAAATAGTCATAACTTGAACCATGTTATTTTTGCTCTGGAAGATGCAGAGTTAGTGGGAGCAGTTCTCAGACCAAACGCTTGGCCAGCCTATAGATATCAAGCAGTAGAGTTGTGGAAGGTTTTGGGGTTGATTCAGTATTGGAGATTGGTTTTGGAAGGAGCATCAGCAAACAGAGGAGCTAGTCTCATTGCGAAAAGTGTTACGTCGGATTGTCGGCTGCAATCTTATGTTGCAGTTAGTCACCCAGCTTGGCTTAATAGAATTTTCGAAGATGAGAGAGTTTGATCCTCTGTTCTCTGTCCTGGGTATCAGTCATGTTGGGGAGTAATTTTTTGGTATAGGCCTGATTTCATATAGGCGTTAACGGTAGTATTTATTTAGCGTAACTAATCTAATTTGGTCTTTCATGATCTTGTAAGGTTCGTCTTTTTGGCTTGATTAATATATATAACATCAGATGACAAAAAAAAAAAAAAAAAATTTTTTATCAAAAACTGAAACCCTAGGTAGTTAATGCGAAGACCTAGAGGATTCGTTTGACCCATTTGTCTCCTACAAAATGCGGAAGCAAAATTCCCACCTAAATTCCATATTCTCTCTTTTACCTTACAAAAGCAAAAATCTTGTCGCTTGTTTGTTAATTCTTTCTCATAATAATAGTATACATTTAATTGTCTCTTTAGTTTTTAACATAATAAATTTATTTCTCTTTTTAAGAGTACAATATTCAATAGTAAAAATAAATCTTCCTCTGATTTGGTATACACTTTAAGTAAAAATTAATCACTTTCTTTTTATTAAATATGTTTGAACAAAATCCACAATATATTTAACACTCCTAATTTTTCCTTTATATATACAAACCGTCCCATCAAAATTTCAAGAACAAAAAGAAAAACCCATAGAAACTGTAAAAAATGGAGAGAAACAATATCCAGCCGCCACAAAATAATCTACAGCTAAAAAGTTACTGGCTAAAGGAGATGGAAGGTGACTTGGATTTTAAAAACTATGAGTTTCCCTTGGCTAAGATCAAGAGAATCATTAAATCTGATCCAAACGTGACTATGCTCGCATCTGAGGTTCCTCTCCTCTTCTCTAAGGCCATTAAGATGTTCATCATGGATCTCACCATGCGTGCATGGCGCCATACGCAAGAGGGAAATCGCATAACGATTTATAAATCAGATATCGCTGCCGCGGTGGCTCGAACCTTTACGATGGATTTTCTTCTTGATGTTGTCAATGCGGAGGAGCCTGTTGCTGCAATATCTAACTACGTGGCCATGCCATATCACAACAATGATGTATTGCCTCCAGGAATGGTGATAGGAACTCCTGTTGTTGATGGTACCGGAATATACGGTGACGTACTCCAGCCGTGGCCGGGTGCTTGGAACATGGCGCCTAGTGAGGGTCGTGAAGGAGAGGATGCAGTAGGGGGAAACAACATACATTAATGTTGGGGGTTTGAAATCGTTGTATTAAGGATTTGAATATGTTTTTCAAGTTATCTTGTGAAATGTTAATTTAAATGAATTTTTATCCATATTTGCTTGAGATTAATTTAGGCATACAATGACATCCTTTATAAGGATAGTGTTGTGGCCAGGTTGACCAAGGCTTAAGGCAAAATTAAAATTGGGGGCCTTTTCATATATATTTTATTTTATAAAAATGAAAATAAAAAACGACATAAAATTTGTAAAACAAAATAAGAATAAAATAAACTAATAAAAACACATAAATTATGAAAAACAAAATAAGGATTAAAAACAACTAAGACCTAATTTTTCTTCCTTCTGTTCAATAAACTCTTTCACCAACTTTTCGTAATCTAGATTTTCTAACTCGTTCTCTTTCGATAGATATGATAGCTAGTCCATTCAATCTTTCTTGTGACATAGTTGATCGCAAATAAGACTTGATCAGCTTTAACTTTGAAAAGCTTCTTTCAGCAGAGGCAACAAAAACTGGAATCGTCAACAATATACCATAAGCAATCTATGAGTTTGGATAACAATCTTCCATTCCTTTCAAAAAGTTCAACACATCAAAAGGTCTCTTGCAGTCGTCAGGCAAAGCATCTTTTAAAACTGATAGCTCAAAATACAAATCATCCCCAACAACATCGGAATGATTCCCATGTTTTAAACATCCTTCAAGATTTGTGCAAGACGCCCTCAAACTATCATCACTTGCTGACTTTAGTTTCTTCAAATCAAATAGGAAGCCAAACGTTTGTTCATACTTTTGAAATTGCTCAAATTTTGTCTCAAGAGAATATAGAGCTTGATCCATAACTTGTTTCTTTTGATGACACGTTTTTGATTAGGATAGAAAATAATCATATTAGTTATTTCATAAGATGAAAGATAAGAGTATTCGAGACTTTGGGGTCGATTGGTAACGGTTGTTAGCCTGTTACTTGTGGCTGTAAAGACTGTGACTATAAAACTTTGACTGCAAAGACTTCGGCTGTATTTCTTTATACCACTTTTCCATGTTCAAAGCTCTGTGTTTGCGGCAACAAGATACATAGATCTTGCATCATACCGTATTTTATAACATGATATATGTTTGAAATTTTCCAGCTTGTTTTCATTTGGTGAATCAAGCTTGGTTTTCCAACTGAATTTCGCGCGAAACAGTTTATTTGAGCTTAGTTTTGAACAAAATTTGGTGCACTTTTAAAGAACTTTGGCGTAATAGCTATCTATTCATTTATATCATGGTTTTATTTTATTTTACTCAAGTAGGAATTTATTTCAACACAAGTTTTCAGATTTTTGATTTTAAACCAAATATGCGTTATGAGTTAAAATAAATTTTAGAAGTATGATGAGATCTTAGGATCTAGCAAAAGACCTTATTGAAACCCAAAGCTGTTTTAAGAAGTTTTTCAGCTTCTTAATTAATTGAAAAACTAATATAAAAATATAAGAAACTAGAATGAGATGCATTAATTTCTTTCTATTGATGAAAAAAGAATGAGATGCATTATTTTATGAGAAGTTCACTCCAATATCACATTTTAAATTCTTTTCCAAAAACACCAATTTTTTTTCTCTAAAAATACCACAATTTCTTTTTATAAAAAAACCATTAACTAAAAAAATTAATTATTTTTGAAAATGTAGAATTGATTTTTTAGGTTTAGCTTGACTATTATATATTTAGGGTATAGTTTAGGGTTTAGAAATTAGTTTAGAATGTGAAAAGTTACAAATTTTTAGGTTTGTGGTAATTCTGGAAATATGTATTTTATTAGTACTTTTAGAAATTAAAACTCATAATGACACTTTTGGAAAACACCTATTTTAGTGGTATTTTTAAAATTGTCCCTTAATAAAAATTCATTATAATTAGGTATTATCTTATATGTATTAGTTATGTAGAATTTTTTAAGATAGGTTTATAAATTTAATTTTTAAATATTTTAGTCCTAAATCTTCACATGTCAGTATCTTATCGATACAATTGACACATGTCATGTTAATGACTAACTTATTTAGATTAACTTACTGAATGAAAATATTTAAATATTACATAATATTCACGATAATGCAAATATTTTCTAAGATTAACTTATATTTGACTAACTTATTGTATTTTTTTCTTTATTAGTTAATTTTTTTTATTCCTTAGTCTTAATTTTTATAATTTTTATTAATAATTTTATTTTATAATTACTACCCTTTTTTCCTTTAAGATTACTACTATGTAATTGTTAAATTTCCTGAATTTTTATTTTCTCATTTCTTATTTGAAAATATTATTTTTATCTGAAAACGAACTTATATAATTTCTTACCACTTATTATCTAACACTTGTTAACATCTTATCAATTCAATTGAACACATGTTACGAGATTGTTAATGGCTAATTTTGAAGTTTGAAAATGAGAAAAATGTTATTTAAATCCCGAACTTAAAAAATTTGGCCATTTTAATCTTCGACTTCTACTGTGGCCATTAAATCATAGACTTCTTGTTGATGTGATTTTTAAATCACTATCTTCTTGTTGATGTGATTTTTTAGTATGTCGTCAAATCAAATTTTCTAACAGATGAGTTAACAGTCGTTTATGATCGTTAGTCGATCTCTGTTAAGTCGAAAAATGAGTATCACAAAAACAAGCAACGTCCCGAACCGATTTATGCATTTCGTTTAAGGTAGCACGACGTCGATGGTTAGACCATCAAAAGATGACTAAGAAGTTTAGCTTTATATAATAAGATATTTATTTTATTTTCCATCGTTAGACCATAAAAAATGTTTATTTGCTCGTTTACTCGTTTATTTTCCTTCGTGTGCTTGCAGTACCATTTCTTTTTTCAGTTCTAGTTTTTGGCTGATTTTTATTTTCCCGGTCATTTTTCTTCTACTTTGCCTCCATTTTCTTTTTCCTCCCATCAACTCGATCTATGAACTAACCTCTCAGTCTTCACTAGGCAAGTTTTTTTTGTAGAGAACTCTTCTTCTTCTTCTTCTTCTTCCTATTGCTACATCTCTCCTCCGTCTTCGTTTCCGCTTGGATCTATCTCCATTAGGAAAGTAGTAAACCCTAGAATTTCAACTTCTTAGTCATCTCTTTGAGTTTGATACCAAAAATTAGGGTTTTGATTGCTTCTCCGAGTCGAATCTGTTGCTTATCTTCTTCGCTTGACCTAATTGTGTCTGGGCTTGGTGTTGATTTTGACAGGTTTGGAGTAGCTAGTGAGGTGTTTCGCTATGCATATCAAGCAGGTGCGAATTTGTTTTTTTCTTTTTCGTATAATTGTTTAATTGGAACTGATTTGTTCAATTTGGTTTTGATTTCATTCTGTGGATTTTGGATTTGGTTTTTGTGAAGGTTATAATCGAAGGATTTAAGAGTTACAAAGAGCAAATTGCTACTGAGGATTTCAGCAACAGAGTTAATTGTGTTGGTAAATGTCTTCTCTGATTCACTTGTTTGTGGATCTTTAAATTGTTTTATTCATTCTTCATGTTTGATTTTTGGAGTGTTGAACTTGTTGCTGAAACTGATGAAATGTTTTTTTTCCTTATTGCAGTTGGGGCGAATGGGTCTGGTAAAAGCAATTTCTTCCATGGTGAGAGATTGAGTCTTCTTGATTAGCCGATGTTCTTCCTTTTTTTTTTTTTGTTTAGAGTGTGAATATTTGATTCTAAGTGAAATCTTTGGTTTCGGATGCAGCAATTCGTTTTGTATTGAGTGACCTCTTCCAAAATCTAAGGAGTGAAGATAGGCATGCATTACTCCATGTATGTTTACATTTTTGCTGAAGGATTCAAAGTTGATTCGTTGTGTGCTTTTCATGGTATTGAGATTTTTATTTTTTGCTAACTATGACCCTGTTATTGGACAGGAAGGTGCTGGTCATCAAGTTGTGTCTGCCTTTGTGGAGATTGTGTTTGATAATTCTGATACTCGGTTCCCGGTAATAACTCGATTGCCTAAAACTTGTTATGTCTGAATTCGGGATGTGATGTTTTCTTTTGTTTGATCAACTTCTCGTTCATGTTTGTGCTGATGTTGTGGATCTTAGTATTGGCATCTACCTGTATTTCTGTCAGGTAGAAGTCTAAAAACTGTGTTACTAAGCTTGGAAAATTTAGTTCTGTCATGTTTTGGTCTAGTGTACAGGTTGTTTTTAGTTAATTTCATGGCTTCATGTCAATCAGTTATATACTAAATTTCCCTTCGGATTCATAAAACTGTCTTCATTTTCTTGGCTATTTGGGTTTCCGAAGTCATAAATATGTAAAGATTAGCCGCACCTAAGAAAATCTGGTAGTATCAAAACATACTTGGGTGCTATACAAATTAAAATTAAAACACAAAGGCAGTTGAAAACCTTGTATTCCACCACATGCTTTTTATTTATTTATTCCTGAATGCTAAATAGTTCCACAAATGGTATATTTCAGTCCTCATCTGTTGTGTTTTATTCTTCTCCACTAGGTTGAAAAGGAAGAAGTTCGCTTGCGCCGAACAGTTGGTCTGAAGAAGGATGATTATTTCTGGGATGGGAAACACATAACGTACGCATTGTTTCTTCAAGTTTGAACACTTTTTCCGATGCCCTGTTTTGTGGATGTTTGAAAATTTATTTGATAAAACTTGCAGAAAAGCTGAAGTCATGAATTTATTGGAGAGTGCTGGATTTTCTCGTTCCAATCCTTACTATGTTGTTCAACAAGGAAAGGTACGCTCCTGTTAGGGAAAGTATAGTTGGATTAATCCTATGCTGCCAAGCACAGAGAGAAGCTAACGTGGGCAAGCAGATTTCTGTACAACAGCGTTTTGCATTTTAAATACCTTATTTTTGGTACATTTGTAGATAGCCTCATTAACACTGATGAAAGACGTGGAACGGCTGGATCTGCTAAAAGAGATAGGTGGTACTCGCGTTTATGAGGAGAGGCGTCGTGAGAGTTTAAGAATTATGCAGGA